CTGCACAAACTAAGGAAAATATTTTATTCTCTTACATAAATGAGATACTTGAAATTGTTCTATATCAAAGCTAGTAAGTTGCATGTTTTTCCTGAACTGGGATAAGTCTGACTCATCTACTGACCTGTACATTTTGCAAATGACTTATATGTTGCCAAAGATTTATGTATAATATGGCATAAAATTCTATAAAGTAAGATAAGCAGATATTCAAATTTCATTTGCGGAAAACAGAACTTCAGGACACTGGAGAGCTGGGTCTTGTGTCTAGAACCTGCAAGCATTTTCTCTTCCTTGTGACAGGAGTGATACCCAAGAGTATCAATGCAGAATATCCTCTGCAGAGAGACCTGGACTGACTTATCAGTGGGCTGAGGACAAATGCATGAGTTTCAATAAGGCAAAGTGCTGGTCTCGCACTTGGGACACAGCAACCCCAGACAGCACTACAGGCTGAGGGAGGAGTGGCTCAAAAGCTGTTCATCAGAAAGGGACTTGGGAGTGCTGGTGGCAGCAGCTCAATATGAGCCAACAGTGTGCACAGGTGGCCAAGAAGGCCAATGGCATCTTGGCCTGGATCAAGAAGCGTGTGACAGCAGCACTAGGGCAGTGATCATCCCGCTGTACTCAGCACTGGTGAGGTCACATCTCAAGTGCTGTGTTCAGTTTTGGTGTCCTCACTTTAAAAAGGACATTGAGGCACTGGAGCGAGTCCAGCCAAGGGCACCGAGGTCAGAAAAGGTCTAGAACACATGTCCTGTGAGGAAGGGCTGAGGGAGTTGGGTTTGTTTAGCCCTGAGAAGAGGCTCAGGGGTGACCTCATGGCTCTCTGCAACTCCCTGAAAGGGGCTTGTAGAGAGATGGGGGATGGTCTCTCCTGCCATGGCTGCAGGGAGAGGACTAGAGACAATAGCCATAAACTGAAACAGGGGAGAGTCAGGTTAGATGTTAGGAAAACTGTTTCCCTGGCAGTGTTTAAGAGGCATCTGGATCTGGTGCTGGAGGATATGGTTTAGGGGTTAGAACAGAGTGGCAGGTTAATGGTTGGACTTTATGATCTTAGAGGTCTCCTCCAACCTTGATGAGTCTATGAATACACAAAACACTAACAACTAAACACATTTCTACCACAGGCTTTTCTAGCTGTTACCATGGTTTCTGAACGTTAATGCTAGATAATAACACTCTTAAGCAGCATAAACTTTGCTATGTTAAGTATAACAATTCTAACAAGCAATTACTGGATGGCCTATCAAAGATTTTATTTGTTTACAAAAACTGGAAAACACAATTTTGAACGTGCTGTTCTTTCACAAACTATGTTTTACACTCAGTTCTGTGTTTGTATTATCACAAAACAGCAAACGCTGGCCAGGGCAGATTTCAACCATCATTCCTCCCTGGTGAGATCATCATTTCTGTTGAAATAGATGTGCTTTTGCCCATTTTTCAAACATTTTTAGGAGTGTAATAATAGACTTAAGAAGAACAAACAAACAACAAAAAAAACAGCCCCCAAACCCATTTTCTTCCATTTCTTATATTTAGGGGAAAAGGTTAATTCTATTTGACAATGTTTACTTGCCACATTACTATATTATCTGAGACCCAACCTCTAAATTCTTCTGTCCTGTACTGATCAATCTAGTAAGATCACTGTGGAAATGTTTACAAACATAGAATAATAGAAAAGAATCACAGAACCATCAAGGCTGGAGGAAATATCTAAGATCCTCAAGTCCAACCATCAACCTGTCACTGCTGTAACCTCTAAACCCTAAACCAGGTCCTCTAGTGCCAGATCCAAATGCCTCTTAAACACTTCCAGGGATGGTGACTCCACCACCTCCCTGGGCAATATATTCCAGTGCCAGAACACCCTAACAGGGAAAGAATTTTTCCTAACATCTAATGTGACTCTGCCCTGTCTCAGCTCATGGCCATTCCCTCTAGTCCTCCCCCTGCAGCCATGGCAGGAGACCATACCACACTTCTCTATAACATGTGTCAGGTAGTTGTAGAGAGCCATGAGATCACCCCAGAGATGATGAGGATTAAATATATGCAGAATATAATCTCAAATTTGGTTGTTTTTTAAAAACCTGTTCCATCAGAGAGGGGAGAAAACAGGGGGGTTTGTGTGGGTTTTTTTCTTTTTTTAGATCAGATAGAAGACTAAGACATTAAGTAGTGTTATAGGACAAAGATTACTAGAACAGATAAAAGGAAATCAAACCACTCTGCCTGCTGTTACTGTACAATGCTCTGCATATATTCCAAGATGTTTCCTAGGTGTGTAGATGCAGCTCTATTTTATAGGTAATCTGGTCATACTTGCTATATATCCTATGAAGTACTCATGGGCAAAGCTGACTATCAACTTTACAAAATGTTCTCACATCTTAGCAGTTTCCTGAATATTCTGAACTGTAATAACATGTTCTCAAATGTAAGATCTCACATGTACATGGTAACGGATCTGATCTGTTAGGGGGAATTATTTTTCTAAAGCACAAACTGTGAGTTACTATTGATATATGAAAGTAGAGAGGGCTAGAAGTTATCAGTTCATTAAATTCAAATTACACAAATGACTACGTACACAACCAGGTATTGTTAGCTGCTGTCAACTAGCTCACTGAACATGATGATGCCAAGATGCCATTGGCCTTCTTGGCCACCTGTGCCCACTGCTGGCTCATACTGAGCTGCTGCCACCAACACTCCCACGTCCCCTTCTGATGAATGACACACAACTCACTCCTCCCCCAGCCTGTAGTGCTGCCTGGGGTTGCTGTGTCCCAAGAGCAGGACCAGCACTGAGCCTTACTGACCCTCATGCAGTTGTCCTCAGCCCACTGATCAAGTCAGTCCAGGTCCCTCTGTAGAGCTTTCCTACCCCCTCAGGCAGATCAACACTCCCACCCAACTTAGTGTCCTCTGCAAATTTACTGAGGGTGCACTCACTCCACATGTCCAGATCATCAATAAAGATATTAAATAGGACTGGCCCCAATACTGAGCCCTGAGGAACACCACTGTGACTGGGCCCAATTGAATTTAGCTCCATTAACCACAACTCTCTGGGCCACCAGCCAGATTTTTACCCATTGAAGAGTCCACCCATCCAAGTCACAAGTAACCAGTTTTTCTAGAAGTACGCTTTGTTGCATTGCAAAATAGAAGAGGTTGAAAAATAATTAGAAGTATCTAAATATTTATTTATAAATAACTAAACTTGTTTCTGTCAGTCAAAAATCCACTGACAGAAACAAGCTTACTTATTTACAAAACACAGATGGCTTTTCTCTTCTCCCCAGTCTCCTATAAAGGCAGGTCTTTCCTGGCCCTAGGCCAGCTCAGAAAGGACACTCACTTTCAGCTTACAGTCATTACAGTTGACAGCAAACAAAGCACAACTGCTGCACCTTGGCATTTCTCCAACACAATTCCATCTGTTGCCTCACCTAGTTAAATTTCATATTCTTACCTTGAACAGAATCCATTTTAGCTTTAATTAACATTCTTAATCTTGCCACCTCTTGTCTTTTTAATTCATCCAGCCGTGTTCTCACATGGTGACTTACTAAATCCAGCTCTCTGCTTAGTTTTCCACTCTGTCAAAAAAACAGAAGTTATGTATAAACACTAGTAGAAAGAGGCCTTTAGGATTCCCATTAGACATGAGCTGCCAGACAGCAGACTAGTGATAGTCTTTGGCAATACTGTAGCCCACACTATAAGATTTTCAATGTTTTTTCAAAGAGCAGATTCAGCATTTTTATGCCTATGGTTATAGAAACACAAAGGAATCCTAAAAGCTTTCTGAAAAGACAATGTCTAAGTATCCTTCTCCTCCAAAAAGCAAAACTATAACCTTGAAGGAGCAATACGTAGTAATGTTTGTGACAAATATCTGGATCAAGTGCTCTCAATTTGGTTCAAAAGAACTGTGAGAAGCACACCAAATGCTGTGTTCTTCATCTGCATGATGAGGGCTGTAAGGCTTGAGGGAAGGTACAAGCACAGCAACAGCCACCAATGTGTATTGCAAGAACCTTGAAATGGATAGTAATCTTCAAGGGCTACACTAGATGGAGCACCGAGCAAAAAGAAGCCAAAAGCTGCCAATGGAAAACATTTGGATTAAAAAAAAGAGATTAAAAGCAGCACAAGAGGCAGGATCTCCTCTTTACATCTGTCACTTTAGACTGTTTGATACCCATCCCTTACTGAACTTCTAGCTCATAAAGGGGCAATGAAGAACAGCCACCACCTAGAGCCAGGAACTAAAGTGGAAAAAACCGTGTGGGGAGGTTTGGGAGAGAGTGCTATGTAGATTGGCACAAAAGAGAGGACAGCAGTGGAGAAAGCCAGAGGTCTGTTTTATTCCTATATATGGTGATTTCTAGCACAACTCCAATGTCCCTGAATGTTAAAATTTGGCTGTTTTGTAATTCTTTTCCATGTCACCATATACATCTGTGACTTACTGTTTTAATCTCAGAGAGCAGATACAGCCCTGTGTTCAACAGTGTTCCAAATTACTCAGCAGGGAACTGCAAGAGAGAGCCATGATCACAGCTGTTTTGATGCACATGAAGGTTCACCTACCAGCACAATGTCTGAAACAAGCTTTTTAGTAGCCAGGCAGCAGGCACAAACTATGCATTCAACTGGATGTTGTTGCTGGAGGGAGGTTATGCTATGGAATATTTTTTAATTAGCGTAAGTTCTGCTGTCCCTTGACTAAAGGCAAAGATCTAGTAATATACCTACATAAATAAAAGTGAAATTTAAGCTCACAAAAATTCAGAGGAGTATGAAAAAAGAAGAGGAAGAAAGAATACAATATACATGGCTCATGATGATGAAGTTAATTAACCTTAATTTAACTCTTTTTTTGAACCTACCTTTATTTCCTCGATGTCAGCAGTCTGGAGTTTCTCCCTGAAATGCTTATCAGTTTCCAAGACATCTATTACTTGCCTGAGATATTCATCATAATAAAGTCCTGTATCCTTAAAAAAGAAAAAGAAGTGAAATTGAGAAAAGAATATAGTGCCAAACATTTACTTTTGTTTAAATACAATTATTAAATTGCCACTCTAATCTCAAGCAACACATGCTTTACACTGTCTTACACATCTTTGTTGTTCTGGATTTGCACCATTGCCCTATAGCAACTAATGATTCATTTGTTTCAGCAACTGACAAGAGGAGAAAATTGTTTAGAAATCCATGTAATACAGAAGCATCTGTCATGTGAGTGTAGTGTGTGGCTTTTTTTTTTTTTCCAAAACAGTGCCATTCATTCATAACTGTTCTATTTGAAACCCTGAACTGGAATCAGCAACTGCAATTTCCTAAGCCACCACCCAGTCACTTGAAATAAGTCCCCATGGAACAGTAAGTTCTTCCTGTTGTAAGCTGGGGAACTCCTGCCATGTGCCACCTCACCTTCAGCAGTTCATGCAAAAAAAAAAATAGAACAAATTTAAACAGAACCTCCCCATAGCAGATGGCAGACCCTCTGACAACACTGGAGAATATTAGCTTCCTTCCTGCATGTGACTCCAGTAAAGGTCATCTAAATTTCACACAAGGAGCTTCCTATAGCCAGGTTACTAACAATTAGGGAAAATACTTAATCAGATAGATTTCTTTGTACTTACTGGATTTTCTACCTTCTCTCCTTCTACATGGCCTTCTGCTTTGACTTTTGTCTTATCTATGTCTATAGGTACAGCTTCCAAGGCCATTAGGAGACATGTCATCAGCAAAAGACACTGTTGGGGCAGGAGAGATTGCCACTTCATCTGAAATGAGACCAAGTCACAAAAATTAACATCAATTATGTTATCTTACTGTACTGATTAGAATTTTTTTTTATTCCCATATAGATACCTGTAAGAACCCACTTCCCCCATGATGTTCTGCTCTCAAGGAACACTAAAACTCAAAAAGAATTAAATACAGCTTTAATTTTTACAAGCCATCATTACACAAACAGATCTCCTTGGATTAACATACAGTTGTGTGCCAAACCTAAGTGGTACTGTGAGAGGTTTTTAACACATTGATATATTATCAAAAAATGAGTGAGAACACCTATTTAGGATGTCCAACTAATACTGACTACTTTGATCTACTCTGTCCTACTCTGATCATGTCTTTGCTGAATGTATTCGCAAACACCAGTAAAGCAATTGTGGACACTGAGTTAGACCTTAGTGCAGTGATGCCAGTGGGTTTTATGTTTCAGCAATGGAGTAGTTTGCCTGATTTGAAGTCAAAATCCCCCACAATTTATCTGCAAGAAAAATATTTTAGAACCCATGTTATATCCATATTTCAAGTTGACAGAGATTCCTGGAAAAAGCATTCACACTACCTGAAATTGCTGCTGAGGCTGGGGCTTTATGAAGCCAGTCTCCCCTAGACTTTCTTTGGTGTCTTATATGGAGCTAACTCACATCGTTTGATGAGCACCCAGCACTTGATGAGTTATTGACCTGTGCTGTCTTTGCCTCTATCATATTTGGTTGAAAATAGCTCAATTTGTTCAGAAACTGGTAAGATGGAACACTTAAACGGTGTGAGTATAGCAAATCCAGCTAAAAAAGCAATGCTGGTAACCCAGCATATGACAGCAAAGTCAGGCTCTTGAGGCAATCTGGCCAGTTTGGCCTGTGACACTCCACAGGCTCTGGATATTCTGTAAAAAGTTTGCGCAAACTTCAATGTTACATTAGTAATTGTCGTGGGTTTGCCTGGCCAGGTTTTGGCAGTGGGGGGAGGCTACAGTGGTGGCTTCTGTGAGAAGCTGCTAGAAGCTACCCCATGCCCAGCAGAACCAATGCAGCAGCTCCAGGACAGACCTGTCCCTGGCCAAGGCTGAGCCGATCAGTGGTGGCAGTAACACCTCTAGGATAACAGATTTAAGAAGGAAAAAAAAGTTATTGCGCAGATGTAATGGCACTCAGAGAAGAGAAGAGTGAGGACACATGAGAGGAACAACTCTGCAGACACAAAGGTCAGTGCAGAAGGAAGGGGAGGAGGTGCTCCAGGCGCTGGAGCCAAGGATACCATGTGGACCGCGGAGAAGCTCATGGTGAAACTGGAGAGCTGTCTCCTGTGGGAAGGACCCCACACTGGAGCAGGTGAAGGACTGATCCTGTCAGAGAGACCCCACGCTGGAGCAGGGCAAGGACTCCTCTCCCTGAGCAGGGGCAGAAACAAGTGTGATGAACTGACCGTAGCCTCCACTCCTGTCTCCCAGCGCCGCTGGAGGGGATGAAGTAGAGCTGGGAAGGAGGAAGTGGGGGGAATGTGCTTGTAAGGTTTATTTTCTCATTATCCTGCTCTGATCGTGTCAGTAATAAAATCACTTAATTTCCCCAAGTTGAGTCTGCTTTGCCTGTGAAGGTATTCAGTGAGTGATCTCTCCCTGTCCTTATCTCAACTCCTGAACCTTTGTTACATTTTCTCTCCCTTGTCTATTTGCAGAGGGGAGTGAGAGTGGCTTTGGGGGGTGCCTGGCAGACAGCCAGGGTCAACCCACTACAGTAATATCACTGGCAAGTGAAAGTTGCCAGACAAAAACTGTCTAAAATTAGCTTAGTTATGTCAAAGACAAAGACGTAATACTAAAGAAATGTGCAGTCAGACAAATCAAAAGTGTACCTGCTACGAGAATTTCTGTACAAGCCCTTTAGCTAGTCATGCAAGTAATTCTGTCAAAAGTACTTATGTCCACCAGCAGCAAATCTCTTTTTAGGGGGAGGGGTCAGAGGGACAAACTGTAATTACAATGTCAGTGCCAGTTTTCCTGACTACATGATCTGGTACTTGACAGTGAAGCATTGCTTTGTGCTTGGATTAAGCTGCCCTTTACTATGGCAAGAAATGCAAATAACAGTACATACTTAATAATAAGCATTGTTGACATTCTTTATTCTCCCTTATTCAACTGCTAGGAAAATGAAAGCACTCTTATTAAGAAGAAAAATGGAAGATGCATAAAAGATGTGCAGAGATTGTATCTTTTGTTGGGGGTGAGGAAATTGCTGAAGATAAAAGTACATCCACCTATCCATCTATTATTTTATATGTCAAAGGCTCAAGAAGTATAAGTTTTGTCTAAAACTGTTTTTTCTTAATGACATCTTCAGCAGAAGGAGCCCAAATGAATTCTGCTCTGCAAATTCATTGAAAAACTTGCCACCATCTGATCATTACCAGGTAGGACAGGAGCAGCTATGGTTGCTGCTGTAGTGAGCGTATGAGACTCAATGTCAGCACTGCTGTCAGATCCACAGCACCAACTCTGATTAACTTTGCCTAGGTCATGCCTTTAAAACAAGCACAAAACCCCAGACCTAGACTGATTTGCTGGAACTACTAAGTTAATTTCTGTACTTCTACACAAGCTGTTGACTTGCAGGGACTTAGAGAGCTGATGTGTGATAGGGTTAGTTATTCACTATTTCTTTTTAAAATGTTTTTAATAGCACAATATTGCTGTATAAATGCTGTGTCTAGGTTTGTCATTTCAACAGGATTTAATCACAGGAAATGACAATAACTAACAAATACTAGGCTTTCAAGTCTCCTAATCTAGATGCCAAGACCAAGCATTTTTGAGTACTAAATGGATGACTTGTGTGAACCAAATCACTGACTTAATGGACTTTCCCAGAAGTTTCCTTTTCTGTCTCAGACTGGATATTCAGGCCAGGCTGGGTACAATGTTGTTGGGAAGCCCCAAACTAGAGCCTTCAGTTGAGTCTGTTATCTGTTAGTGGCACTGCTCATTTTGTGCATCAGTGGTATAGACAGCAATAATAAGCAGGTCACAGTTCTTTTAGCTGGCAGACAACCATCACCCTACTGTCACTTAATGTTTTCTGTCTTGCATGGACAAGATCAACTGATTTTGCCCTCTTTTTCCCAAAAGCAGATTGTCATGTCTGGTGTTGAGTCATTCTCTGAACACTGCTGCTTGTTATTTTATCCTTACCAAGGCATTTTGATACATCTGTCAACACACAAATGTAGCTAGATCACTATGTAGGCTTGAATAAAACAAATGGAAAGAGGAAATAGCTTAACCTAAGCAGCAGGTTGGACAGAAATAGAAACTAGTGCTTCTGTAACAGACTGCCTGTAACATGACAAGTCTGGCAAAAAGTTGCACAGGTAACAGGTGTAGTGTGAACCACCTCTGCCCTGAACCTGACATCCATTTGCCTCATTCAATGACCCTCTTAGTTCTTGTACTGGAAAAAAGGCAAACAATTTATTCTTAATTACCATTTCCATACTGGAGCTCTACAACAGTGATCACACACCAGCCTAAAGAGTGCTAGCTTACCTACTGATTCCTTTTACAGATTTTCCAGATCTGTGATCATGCTTAGAATCACAGAATCATCAAGGCTGCAGGAGACCTCTAAGATCATGGAGTCTAACCATCATCTTGCTTATTGCTCCTCTCTGAATCTTTTCCAGTCTTTTAAAAACTGATTTGAAACAGAACCTTGAGTGGCCTAGGCTATGCCACAGATGTTATCAGTGCATTGTTTCTTAACAAGAAAGGTTTATAAACCCTGTAGGCAGGACTGAGAGTATTTGAAGGTTCCCTTCCAAAGCAGATTGAGATGACACAGTTGTGAGGAAGCCATTGTACTTTTCAGATGAAAGAAAATGGAAAGTAAAAGTAAGGAAAGCACTTAATTCAGTACCTGTCAGCTAAGTGTATTTTAAAAATGGAACTGAACCTCAAAATCCACTTTGAAATTCTGGATGAACAGCCTGGGCAATAACCTGTCTAAACACAGAGCACCACAGTCAAAAAGATGTATGAAAGTCCACCTTGCTGAAATTCTTGCAGAGTGTGAACAGGGCAGTCTAGTAATCTGCACATGAAAGTCCATAGGCATGCATGAAGTCTAGGCAACGCATCTGAAACAAAACTAATAAACCCCAAAAACCTTATAAAGTATATAATAACTAAATATATACTCTCAGCAGTTTTAGAACCATTTTTTTAAACATTATGCATATTTGAAGTATTCATTTAAAGAAACTAGCTTCTGATAATGCTAAAATTTGGAGCCTGATAGATGGGTATTTTTCCAACCAAAGTATTTTCATCTATACAAAATTATAGTAATAAAAGTAATTTAATATTATTATAAGCCAACTCTAGTTATGTCAGGTGTGTAAACAGTGTTTTAGAAAACCATTATGTGGCTATAAAATGAGCACACTCATGTCAGGTAAGACCAACAGGTGATACAGTGAGATGAACCATAGCAGAGAAGCCACAAACTCAGGTGCTCACCATGGTTCTGGCACTGACTCATTCTTTGCCTATGGCAAGGACTAAAGCCAGCACTTTCAACAATGACACCCAGTCTTTGATTCTTTTTAAAGACATAAATAATCTCTTTAAAGCTGCTGACCTACAACTCCTACCAACACAAACAATTGTGGAGACAAGGATTGTTGGTTTGGGCTTTAGGCTTTTTCCTTTGCTACCCAGAAAAACTGATACATGAAGTGTCCATGCTGAACTGAAACAACTGAGATATAAGTAACCATGCTGGTCTACCAAACCTTCCACGAGGAAGCACTAATGACCTGATTTGGGATGGGCAGTTAGACCTGTATCATCCTTAACTACCTCTGCAGTAGTCAGCAGAGCTTATCTATCAAAAGCCATAATCAAAGTGCCATTGGGTCTGCTGAGTTTCTGTAGAATTTGTGCTTATGGGCAATTGGGGTGTCCTTGGAAATACTAACCTTTGTAATT